GGCGTTCTTGTTGTCAGTTTCTGTCCAGATTGCCTGAGTGAATGTCTGGAGGTGTAGGCACCTCGGAATGATTGTGTTAAGCTAGCTCTAAGTCCCTCCCCTACCCACTTTTATTCTTTTCTTCACAATAAGGCTTTCAAATAGATCATGGTTGTACGGTAGTGACGCATCGGTGTTGAACACTGATGTCATGCTGTCGATGATGATGATGATGCCACGCCACCCAAAGGAGGCAGGACAGTTGGGCTAATGCCAGGTTGCCCAAGCCTAGTCAGGAACAGGCGAGGTGCAGAGGTTGGGTTCAAACCACGGATGTTTCGTTTAGTAAGTCCGCTCCGCTGTACCTATGCACCCAGTTGATCGTCACTGACTGAATTCAGAGTTTTCTAATACACCTCATTCATATCTGGACCTGTACATCGCCGAGCAGTCTTTCGTGACCCGAACAGGTTGTACTAGTCACACCTTTACTTGCATTAGGAGGGAATAGGTGTTGGGTAGCACGAAAAGAGGTTCTAAAGAGTAAACAACGGCTTTAGGCGTTTAGTGCTGCGTCGATAATAGACAAAAATACCTCAATAAGGCCACCTCCTGAAGAGGTCCCGACAGCTCTCTTCACTAGCCATACCTACCACCACGATAGGGACACTAACCTGAAAAGGTCAAGCCTAGACAGGAGCAGTCGAGCTGTACCCTGTCTAAGTGAGAGCTTATCACACTGCCGACCAAACGGCTAAGTGTTCAATGATTGGCCGGAAGGTCACAGGTTCGAAACTCCCAATCGGAATCTCATGAGATACGCACTGCTGTTGATTCCCAATAAGGATAAAACAGCTGTACAATTCTTCTCGGCTCCCCAGTAGAAACAGGACGAGATTTGCATTAAAATTTCAAAATCTCGCCAAACTACCAGTGTAAAATACCGTTATGAAACAATATGAGGGACTGGGGGCGAGATGGACCAAGTGGTTAGAGGGCGAATTTACTGACCGGAAGGTCCGTGGTTCGAACCCGACCTCTGCCTCCCGTCTTCCCCTGTCTACGTTTGGGCAACCTGGCAGCATCCCAGCCCTCGTGCCTCCTCCGTGTGGCATGGTAGCTAGGCACCGATATGAGATCCAGAATGAAACCTACGCACAACGGTGCTAGACAAACTAGCCAGATTAAACGCAACTAAATGAACGACGTTAGTCATACACAAAGCGGAAAGATTGTTTCCAACTCTGGCAAGTACGAGAAAGTTCTTGTGAACCGGTGCTGTTCTATCCACTTACCTACCTTCAGTAGATCTATATCAAACGGTGGTGCGGGATCACATTTCTCGGGCTCAATGTCTGGTTCTCGAGTGGGCCTGTGACGAGATTAAAAAAAAATACAAAAACGTGCACAGAAAGCGACAAACCTTACTCAGTGCAATATTCTAAGAGAACTAGCGCCGAAGAGAGTCCTCTTCGGATAGGTCACACATAAAATCGTGGCTGACGAGCAATTCTGTCGAGGACTCTCGAGAGGGGCCAACTTCTCCCTGGAGGATTACTCCACTAAGTATAGATTGAAACTAAAGACAGATAAGGTATCCGGAAGACGCAAACCGACCAAGAAGCCTGTGTCTGTTCGCGGGTGAGTTTAGCATGAAGATGGTTACAATCCCATGAATGCAGTCAGAGCAAGCGTCACATGGTAAGCAGGCCTGTAAGTAATGCTACACCTGTGGAACATAAAATTGTCAGCACGATCGAACGTACGAGATACCGCGGATGAATAAGAATCTACGAAATTCCTTGGTCACATGGAGAGTAGGCATAGTTGTTTCATTTGTCAATGAGTGTCGGAGCAGGCAGACATGCAATTTCCAGTCACGTGGCGAGAGTAATTTCACTTATGTGCCGAACAATCACGAGACCTGTTCCTACGTTCGTTTGTGTTATGTCACATTTACGATCAATGAAAGGTTGACAACATGACAGAGTGAACATTGAGAGAAACCAACGTACAATGTCATTACCAGAAGTTTGCTTCATCATGCCACTGAAAACTCGTATCCCTGGAAATATACACAATAACAAAGACAATAAGAACGACACGGTGCTTGTCAGCTAATAAACCTGTTGTTTTCCAATGAATTAGCCAAATCGCGTACTTTGTTTGGCTTTGTTAGGGCGATGAACGACCGTAGAATGCACAGGCATCGCCACATCCGTCAAAAGAGCGATGTTGACGGCAGAGTCAGGGGATCGTGAAATACAAAAGCCAAAAATAACCACTGGCTGCAAGACAGGGAGACAGTTGCGACCGAATTCCTGAGTCACTGATCGACTGAGAAGAAATACACTAACTTCGTGCGCGAAAGGTAAAGCCCCGCTTATTCGGGACATCATGCAGACTTGATAAAAAGCAATTCCCCGGAAGAGATATCAACAGTGTTCTCAATCGGCCACGGTTTTCTGCACAATCCTTCCCCAAGAGATGGCACCCCAAAGGGAAGATGAAACGTCTGTTTTTGAGTGAGGCCCCCTGTTTTCAGTCGTTGACCACTTTCGGATAAGTCCTAAAATACTACGACACCAAACATCCTACCTAATCTCATGTTCAGGGCTTGATTTTCGCAGCAAAACCTTGGCGAGGATGACTAAATCAACCACCGGATATAACAACATTCCCACCATTGATTGCAAGGTCTCATCGCATGCGAATCCTCTTGTATTCTTGCTGTTTAATTTCCATACTCAAGAAATAACCCCTTTCATTATGCACAAACAAACTGTTCACAGAACGCCCATTCACAGGCACTGAGCAAGCAGGTTATGTTGAAGGTCATCGACATTTCCGTTCAATTTTGTTTCATTCTCTTAAACGATGAACGTTCGTATGGACTGGCCAATACTTTTGTACTGTTCGAAATGCCTCGTAGCACGATTACTCGTAGTACGAGTAGTACGAGTACTCGTAGTAGTACCCAACCCCAGACAGGGGAAATCGAGAGGCGGAGGTCGGATTCGAACTGCGAACCTTTCGGTCAGTGAATTCGCGCTCTAACAACTCGGCCATCTCGCCCATCCGAAATAGAAAAAAACTGTGCCTCTGGAGGGAGAGTAAATTCGTGATCCTCACCGTCAAAATCTCACCGACGTCGTCAAGGACAGATACCGTTATTCGCGCTCTAACAACTCGGGCCATCTCGTCCATCCGAAATAGAAAAAAACTGTGCTTCTGGAGGGAGGGTAAATTCATGATGCTCACAGTCAAAATCACACGGACGTCGTCAAGGACAGATACCGTATGATTATCGATTCTGGAGAAGACCAGTCATAGTAGAGCAAAGTACGACTCGGGAAATGAATATGGAGCAGATTCTGAAAAATATAAGTGAAGTCCAAGTGCCCATCTTTATGTTTCGATGGTTGCAACCCAGGTCAGTTGAATGTGTGCTGTCCGTTTCTACCAAGATTGTCTGATCAGGTAGCAAGCTGAAAAATTGTCAGGTTGGTAATTCTGTTTTGTTCATCTTCTCACAGTAACTAATTGGTTACTTATCTTATTTTGGCCAACCGTTGAAAACGAGTCGGGTTCTTGAACGTATTGAAACCTCGGCTGAACAGGCACACTCATTAGCAAAGCTAATGAATATTTTGAGTCACAAACACACAACAGTGAGAGTTAAAGAAACGGCCCAGAAATTTAACCGACCAGCTCGACGACAATAGCAACTTTGGCAAGACAGGTCTGAGTATATCGGGAACTGTGCAACGAAGAACCAATGGGTGTTCGACGCCATTATATTAGTCAATCGAGCCAAGCGGTGCAAGAGTACCGGGGGCGGGGAAACACGCTCTTGTGGGCGCACAACGAGAACAATTCCTAGACACTAGCAATCCGAAAGCCACATTTGTTGTAATACGCATCGAGCAGGTTTGAAAAAACGGAGGAAACAACTGACACATTCGGACCTTAATCACAGTAGACATATGACAATAAACTGACATAGTGAGATTGACCGTGCTCGGATGAAAGTAATCAAAAAAAACAGGGAGCGGAATCGAACCAGGAAGCTCTCGACCAATTGTTCGTGCCTTAGTTATCTCGAGTTTCAAGAAAGTTGTGGCCTTTTCCTATTTAAGAGAGAGCTCAGTGCCTCGGCAACAGATTGGCAGCTGTCAGATCCTCTGTAAAAAGTGGGAAAACTGTTGACTACTCACTAGTAGTCAATTAACCTTGGGATCCTCCCATAAGACACAAGTATAACCTGACGAATCCCCTCTAGTCTCGTAAACAGAAGTCAAATGTACGGTAGTCCAAGATCCCTGGATTATTTCGAGTGCTAGGGGGATGACCTAACTGCCAAAAAGTGGAAAATGGCATGCAGACGTACCACAGTCCGTGTATGAGAAAATCGACTGGTTGTCGGATGACGGAGCACTAAAATAGAGAAATAACGGTCAAAAGGAGCTACTGAAAAAATCTTTGACCGAAATCAGGCATCCGATGCAGAAAAAAGTTGAGAAGGATTGAGTGCTATGATGGCAATTACGTCTTGCGAGTGGATATCAGCGCTTTCCACATTTCGGTCTGAGGTTTGAGAAAACCTCACTGTGAAGTATCAAATCACAGCCATCAATGAAAACCCCGTTACCATATCAACATCCACAATCCCATAGATTGGAGCTTTTGGCCCATGAAACTGAAGAAACTCCGCCGAGGAATATGTGATGGGCGAAAAAGTCAGATTTCAATCAAGACGGAAATAAAACCGATTCCCAGAAACACGGGCGGAGAAATTTCAATAGACGTTGAGCAATTATGATGTTCTAGCCCTGGAATAGAGTACCAACGAGGACAACTTCAAAAAAGCGTTTTCCTCTTTGTGTTTCAACAGAATTACCATTCAATATTGAGTTCCTCAATATATACTATTAATCGTTCATCTGTAGAACACTTTCGCTGCCTAGCTGTCGTACCAACGTAAGCAGACACGAGAGCTGGGAAACTGCCAGGTTGCAAGAGCCTAAACAGGGTAAGTCGAGAGACAGAGGTCGGTTCCGAACCACGGACCTTCCGGTTCGTACGCTGGCACCTTAACCACTGAGCTCATTGAGTTCCCCAGGGGGTGATGCATGGGCATTGACTATTTGGCGATTTGAAGTATGAATGACACTTGTGTAGATACAAGGCAAGAATGGGGCTATCATACTATATGTGTGAGGTCACAAAGAGCTGGAGGCACTGAAGTAAATAATCGTTCAGCTGTAACACCCTTTCGGTGCCTAACTGCCATGCCACCTGAAGGAAGCACGAGGGCCAAGATACTACCAGGTTGTCCAAGCCTAGACAGGGGAAGTCGAGAGGCAGAAGTCGAGTTCGAACCAGGGACCTTCCGGTCAAAAAACGCTCGCTCTAACCACTTGAGCCATCTCGCCGCTGAACTACCACACGATACCAAGCCAATGATACATCACATACATGGCGACTTCCAGCTGACTAGAGGGGAAGCAAAAAAACCGTCGACTCTAGAAACTACTGAAATTGCACGAACGCTAGGCTAGATAACTTGTCCATCCAACGAGTAGTGTCTATCTTGAACTTTTCTTGATTTGGTTGTTATTGAAGGTCACCAGTTCACCAACGAACGCAAGGTGAGACAAATTCGTTAGTCGTACTTAATTTCTAGGACGAATAAGGTATTCCCCTTTCAAGCAGCCAGTGAACTAGTTCAAACACCAAAAGCTAAAGAAATATTGTAATCAAAATTACTTGCACTTGTTTCATGATAGCATAGCGACAATGAAAAAGCATCGTTGGAACAGCTCTCGTCTTTAGGCAATTGCTTCGGATATTACAGCCAAATTTCATAAGGTCGGTGAGATGAGGTGACAGAATTAGCGGTTACTCAAAGAGGAGACATTCGCCAAACGGAAACAGTGACTAGGGGCGTACGAATTATTGGCAGTGCTTCGCTTTTGCAGAGGCTCCATGAAAATTCCGAAAGCGATTAGTCTTGAATCAAGGCAGTGTTTTCTTGGAAAGAGAGTTGATTTCGGGGAGGATGAACGCAGATCACTTAGCAACCTGCACCGTCGAATGAAAGGCCACATAAACCGCCTAAGTACACAGCAGCGGTAACCATATCACCGAGCAGACACTCGTCAGCCAGTGCTAAGGTGCTCGACTCTGATCAGATCAGAAATCGTGGAATGCGCACAGGTGTTGATCAGATCAGACCTTGAAAATCATCTCACAAAAAAACCAACAGTAGTCAATTCGAATGAAACAGGGCCGCTCCTGCTTATCAAGACAACTCAGTTTTTGAGGCACCATCTTACGGATCGCGGTTCGAACCAAATCACAGCATCTCGACTGCTCCTGCTTTTGTTTGTGCAGCCTGGCAGCCTTCCGGCTCCTTTCGTACCAAATCACAGCATCTCGACTGCTCCTGCCTAGGCTTGTGCAGCCTGGCAGCCTTCAGGCCTCCTTTCGTTGGCATGGCAGCTGAACGATTTTCCGTTTACATTATCGACAATAAAGACGGAGAACAGAAGGCGATTCGGGGGTAGTGCGATGGCCGTAAGGTAGGAACGTTTGCTCCGCCAGATTGGTGCACCAATTTTTCTCTGAAAAGCAAGGCTTAAAACGACCAACCAGCAATCTATTGAACCTTGTCTTGCATCTCGTTAGCCGCATGGTCTCAGGTAACGAACAAATCCTTAGAAAACCGGACAGACATCGTCGTTCCCTGCCTTGCATTACCTGTCACCCTGAATGTACCTTTTAAACAACTAACCTAACAGCTGCTTCAGCGTCTGATCACCTGGCTTGAGGTAAAGGCCGAGTAACAGGGAAGTGGGTTGGTGTGTAGTCGTGACGGCAAAGGATGCCACACGTAAGTGTCCTCAATGAAGTGGCTAGTTGAAACCGGAGAGAGGTGGAGTACGTTGGTTTTGAGGCGATGACTGAAGCCTGTTGTGCTTTGTACTGCTTTACGGGACATGCATGCTTTTATCCTGACGTACGAAGATGAAAAATGAGAATTCTAGCTCAAGTTTTAGGTAGTTCAAATCATTTGAGTTTTGATGCTTGTTCACTTCCGTGATCGCATGCATGTACCAGTTGACTGTTTCATCTGTACATCTCGGTTTTCGATCCAGACCGACAACGTTTACGTCACAAGCTATTCGAACACCAGAGTTTTGAAGAACTTTCGGCGTTGGTCTCGAAAACGTTCAGCTGTAGCGCCCTTTCGGTGCCTGGCTGTCATGCCACCCGAAGGACTGCGAAACTGCCAGGTCGTCCAAGCCTAAACAGGGGTAGTGGAGAGACAGAGGTTGGGTTCGAACCACACCCTTCCGGTCAGTAAATCCGCCCTCTAACAACTGAGCCATCTCGCCCCCTGGTCTCATTATTTCATTAATCACGAGATTAAGTAGGAATGGAGAGAGTGGGCACCACTGGCGGACACAGCTTTACGTACAGCGGTGAAGCATCGGTGTTGAACACTGATGCCATGCTGTCGATGACGATGATGATGACGGAAGGACATATCCATTAGAAATACCACACAAAGCCATATGGTCGTATTGATGAGGAGTCGCTACAGAAGGGTGTTGAGGGCAGTGCTCGTACTAAATATGCGTGAGACTGCGACTAATCCACCACCACTCATAATTAAGGGTGGCTGAGATAAAGTGAGTCAGCCAAATTTGTTCAAACCACTACCCCTGTCCTAAGGGTTATTTACACACTCACCTCGAAGCCGATATGAGGCAAAAGTTAAGGACGAAGTCTTTACAACGGAGAACTGTGGGTTTGAGACTCGCCCTTGACTCATCGACGATGCACGTATAGGTGAGTACAAAACAGTATAGCAGCCTCATTACGGCCGACGCGAGCCATACACACAAAACCAAAATCCAACTGTCCGACTTCCTTGAACTCACCTCAGTGAAGTTGCAAAGAGTTGCTGGCCACCGAAGTGATAACATCAAGTAATCCCAGTGTGTCGGGGAAATATCACCAGGAGATATGAGCAATGGGAGCAAACATACAAGCAATAAATGTGCGGAAAACATCTGTAAAAGAAAGTGAAAATGAGGGACCAGTAGGAACGTCGGCAGTGATGGACGATGACTAGCGAGTAATTTTAGGTTGGAGGCAACAGAAAAAATGGGAAGTGTACCAGAGATAATGGTCACAGGCTTCATTGCGCCTCATTTAACAACCAAGCTACGCCGCCAACCAAGGGAGGCTGTGTTATGCGGTGATTTCGGTTTAGTCAGGCAAAGTCATGGGTTTGACTAAGGAATAGCGGTGCAATACGCCCAGGTGAACGAAAAATCGTTCAGCTGCAGCACGCTTTCGTTGCCTAACTGCAATGCCACCAGGAAGCACGAGGGCTGGGATGCTGCCAAGTTGCCCAAGTCTAGACAGGGGAACTCGAGAGGTAGGGGTCTGGTTCGAACCACGGACCACTGAGCCAACTCGCCCGCCCACCATGTGAATGAAGTCAAAAACCAAATGGTCTAGCATATAAATCAGATACCAGAGCAAGCCAAGGTGACAGTTAGACATCTAAGAGGGCCTTGAAATGCGTGATGGAAGACGTTTGTCTGACTGTGACCCTGCTTGCACGTCGTTATGAGGCTTTCAGTAGACGCTGGCGACGTAGAACCTATCGATTCAAAGTCTACTTAAGGCGTACCTAAGATGAGGTCCAGTATAATGTCGAAAGCGTGCAGGGAAGTGTATTGAAATAGGTGGCCGACATAGCTGACGTTAAAAGTCAAACACGTGCACCGCGCTGCTCTTTTGCATGTCGATCTAACGGAAAGGGAGGATTCAGTATTGATGATGCACCGGTGTTGTTCATTCGCCACATAATCACGCAGGTGAGTTAGAGAAACTGTGCTGTCCAAGTTACCAGAATAGACTTAATGAATGGTGGGGTACTGTCAACAGATGAAGTCAGCAGACCTTACTGCTACAAGAAAGGCATACAAGGAACTGGCGACTAAGATGGCACATGCAGATCCCTCAAACATCGGATAACCAAGAGCTTGAGGAATAACAAAAACGCTGCTGGGTTTCGAAGGCCCAGTATATGAAGGAGGCTTTCGCTTCAGACAACAGCCACGCATTATTTCTACAGATTCCATGAACCGGTAAAAGGAAGACTAGTATGGATAAAATATGTTAAAAAGATGCAGCGGTAATTTACTCACATAATTGTCATCTAAAGCAATCGACCGAGCACCTTAAAAGCTGATTCACCTGGACTCCTTCAGCAAAATCTTTGGGAGAATCCAACTAACCTAAATAGAATACGGACGCCAATCCGTCAACAGAAATCCAGTGCTTGATACCACTTCTCCAAAGCAGCATGGCACCCGGCCCAGATGGTCCGCAACCCGCACTTTTCAAAGGTGGTAAATTCCGTGAGAAAAGTCCAACGACCATATTACTACGGAACACTTCGAGCGGAAAGGAGCAAATTGACTATAATTCCAATCTTTAAAAAGGGAGCGAGAACATAGTTGGGGAATCATCATCACATAAGACTGGTAGCTGCGACATCCAAGGTGATCTCTGGCGCAGGTTAATGGATTATCGAGAGGGAAAATCCTGATGATCAAGCTGGGTTTCATCCTAACGGAGGACGCATCGGTATGCCCTTAGCCCGAGATGAATTCCTAAATAGCGCCACTCTTTTAAACGTCCACGCTTGTCGTTTTTCTTGACCTGAAAGTTGCTCTTAATTCTGTCCATCGTCAGAAACTGTGGCGCTGTCCGGTGATCGAGGACGTCCCTTCCAAGTTCATATCCCTTATGAGGGCATTGTATGCGAACTCCTATGGACACGTGTGAGTATACATTGAACTTTCACCTGAGTTCACCGCGCCCAGTGGTGTAAGATAAGGCTGCCCTCTCTCACCTTTCCTTTTCAGATTTGTTATTGATGTTCTACTTGAGAGTGCTCTGCCTACCTGTACAACTTTGAGGTCGAAATGCTCAAGGGATGTTCGCACACGGACACTGGGTATGCTTTCTTCGGTTCGGGTCCTTGAAAGACCCAATCCACCTTAAACAATCCAGAAAATTTTGCCGCACGGTTTAGTATGCGTCTCACAGCAAAAAGATTGGGTGGGATCGAACAGAACCTCATACCTGCAGACAAACTAATCGATGTGGTAGATAAATTCGTTTACCTGTGCATTCTATGCTCATGCGTAATGGCTGGAGACGAAATTACTTCTCGAATAAGGAAGGCCATGGCAGCGCTTGTCGGACTCCGACATCTATGGCTCCTGCGTGACGCTCCTTTCTTCTATCAACGTCAATGGTTAGCGACACCGGCAAACATGGATCAATCACGCTATCAGTGGCGTATCACCTCGAAACTATCGCCTGCAGTGCGTAGCAGCCGTTTCCCGAACTAGGTGATCATGCCATCGCCTCCAATGCTTAGCTATCTCTCTCCCGCACTCCAATTTCCCGGGAAACGAAGATGCGGAAACTGGAACCAATATTGTTAAATGGTCTGGGGCCGCTAAACTGACTGAACTAAACATCGAATTGACGGAGGACGAATGCTGAACGTGGTGTCGTTAATATGTGCGTTACATAAAAGCAGACTAACAACAGAACTCTCGAGCGCGCTACTGGCTAAGTAAGATTGCGGCTTGGCCGAAGGCATAGTGTGGACAATCTTACCAAGCGCCTTTGTTTATGTGAGGAAAATACCGCTATATACTACATGGGAAGGCTGACCATTGGTTATAAGCGATCGTCGTGAGAAAATGCTGTTTTCGAAACCCTGTTGACGAAACTCATGAAGGCGGCTGTTGTTTAGCGAACTGGTATTGCGTCAGAAATCACTGTTTCATCAAAAGCAGGCTTGCGGATCCGCAAGTACGTGGGATAGACTCTGAACCGTCTTTGCGAATATAAATAATTATGCTACACATCAAGTTTGAAGGCCTTGGTCTGACAGCGAAGAAGTCAGTGAGCAATGCCACAAGTCGTGGCATTATTGGCGTATCCTTCCAATATCCGTGAGACAACCTGTTTCTTCATTGTGAACCGTTGATTTTCAAGCAAAGCATTTTGCTCATCACTTGTCGCATTTGAACTATACTATATAGGCGACACGAAAGACAGAAGCTATAGACCCAGAAAAGATCACAAAAACATACCGGTCACTTTGCTTCTGCAACCCCGTGTGGAGATAAGGCATAGCCATCAGGGGTGTTAAGGGTAGCCTCCTGGGCTCACCCTGGGATATGGGTGCACGAGTTTGAGTGATGAATTAGGGTTGACTTCACAGGTCTTTACGACGAGACAACAAATTTAAACCTCCCGAAACGAAGAGATAGAACGATTACGTAGCTCCTGTTCCATGATAATGGTAGTCCCCGAGAAAGGAGGGTAACTTAATCCAAAGGGGTAATTAAGAATGTTTAGGACTCGTCTACAAAGGTGGGATTTCACCTGTGTAACTTCAGAGCCACCAAAACTCAACATTGGATTATTCACACCCTGGTGAGTCGCCAATCGCGATACCCATGCGACATAAGTACTCGAGGGACGGGAGCTCCTGAATGGGAGTGTGGCGGATGTGTGGTTGAGAAAACAATTACATGCTAGCTTTGGACATAGCGAGGAGTGTTGTGTTGCGTTGGGATTCAGAGACTCAGAGGGTGGGAAAACAGTAAATAGTAACAGCTTACGAAGGACAATACGGTCGTTGCGCTAAATGGAGTATACGGAAGCCGCTCTGTAGGACAAGCATAACAGGTGGAGACGTCGGAGCCAACAGACAGCAACTAAGAATGGATTTTATTTGAGTCGAATTCGTCCTCTCCTAAGGACCCAGAGAGTGGAGAATGGCATTTTTGCGTGCGACTCTATAAGCCTCTAACGATAGGCTATTCTGAAACTCGGTATGAGGCAATTGATCTCACTTCCAAGAAAGCACCCAGTATTACGGTAACGGATGGAGATCGTTTGGCTAAACCTGTTTGGCCTGTTTGGCGGAAAACGATTGTAAAATATTTGAGTACATATTCGGTTATGCGGCAGATGAAATGTACGGAGAATATGCTGCTAAGTAATCATTCTGGAGTAAGAGCTACGATACAAACGCACACTGTAAAGAAAACTATCCGTTTTTTCGGTTGCACAAATGAATCAATCGGTGACCTACTCAGTAGTCTTCTTCATGCATGGCGTTCCAGCCGTTGTTGACAGTGCTCACGTTAAACGGTCCACCCCAATGGAAACGTTACCTACCTGTCAGCGTGGAAAATCTGGAAGGCGCCCTGAAAGAGCTGAAGGTGGAAGTAAACCTATCTGATACCGAGTTGTCCATCATCATCATTATTGTGAGCTGTAATAACCGCGTACTCGTCGTACAGTGGTTGTAGCTGCCACAGTTTTGTAGCACTTGTAAACTGCTCTTTTTCATGCTCAGTATCATCTTCTTTTTTCCCATCATTACCAGTCACATCGCTGTACAAAAGTTTGTTTTACTGAAATACAACCGCTACCGCCGCGCGTTGGCTCCAACGTGACTTTGAGACTTCTGCTGAGTGACTGTTGTTGTGACCGCCGGTTAGCTATATCTGACCGCTGCTAATACTAAACGTGAACAAACATTTCAGCTACAAACGCTG